AGGTCCCTGTAGTAGACTCAGGAATCTCTCTCACAGTCTGAATTCTGGTGATTTACCTATTATTTATATACTTATTTGAGAGAGAGAGAGAGAGAGAGAGAGAGAGAGAGAGAGAGAGAGAGAGAGAGAGAGAGAGAGAGAGGATGCTGGGTGGGAATGGACACTCAGGCCTGACGCATGCTAAGCAAACATGAAAACATGACCCCAACTGAACAATATCTCTGTGATATACCTGGATCTGACTTTTGCAAAATAGGAAATTTCAGTGCTAGGCGATAATAACTAAATTTTGAGTAAAAGTAATTTAGTCTTAGAAAGCAGTGTAGTCTTAGATTTTGGAAGTCGGTTATCCACTCCAAGACTCATCCTCTACACCTATAATTTTTTTCACTTTTTTAATAGAGCTTTTTAAATTTCATACATTTCTTACTCAAATCCAGACCCCTCCCCCATCCATGCCTCTCCCCATACCCCCACCAACTCTATGCACTCTGCCATACACGCGGAGTCCTATTCATTCAGGTGTTTGTACCCAAATGTTCTTCAGTTTAAATGCATCCACTGGAGTCCAGTCAGCCCATCCAGTGGTCATATGTAAGTCATACTCTCCCTCATCTAGCAGCAATCAGTCTGAAATAATTCTCAATCTAGTGCTGGCTACATATATAAATAATAGATTCATGGTTACATTGCTTGAACACATCAGGATTGTTGAGACAAATGAAATATGGGAAGACCTACACTTTAAAGAACTATGTGAATATTAGGTGTTACTCTAATCACTGCTGAGTCAATAGTGGTAGTCTTTTCAAGATCCCAAGCGAGGGTCAAAATATGTGTCAAAGGAAAACACAAAGATTTGGCATATGGGGTTCCAACTGTGGTTTATAACAGACTGACATTAGCAAGCACTTTATTGGTCCTGAGGAAATGAAGCACAAAAACTTCACCCAAAAGTGCAAAGGAAAGGGTGTTCATTTCTTGGTAGGGTCCATGTGGCTCTGGTTAACATTAGGATGTAATATCAGGTAACTTGTGCCTCCAAGCCCAACTCATCTTCCATAATTCTGACTGGAAACATACTCTCTGGTACACTTGATGGAAAGCAGAAAAGCTGATTTGAAGAGCGTCTGCAGGCTCACTCTTCACAGATGTTTTTAAGCTATTTACAGATGTTCTTGAACCTACTGAAGCATGAATAAACTCTTTCCTCAGCTAGTAATATTTTAGATCAGTTTACTGACTTGCAGGCATGTAGACATTGTGTGACAGATTGCTCTGCTGGAAGTAGTGCTACCACGTGTTTCCACGGCATGCTCGGAGATCAGTTATTGGTATTTAGAATCCAGTCTGCTAATGGGATAAGGGAAATGACTCATTTGGAGTAGTATGACACAAGCCAAGTAACTGCCTAGGAGAAGTAAAAGTACACACAATAGGCACAATATTTGGAAAGGGTAAATAATTTAGCATCATAATGAGCATATTTTACCTCATTTCACCTTAAAAAATTTGGAACACAGTTTCCAATACAGCTTGCAAAGGTAAATTTTAAATTACATGGTGGAAAGTAATATTCTCACTGGAATGTCCTTCAATTCAGGGTGGAAGATGCTTAATTACGCATTTATGTTTTATCCACTAGCTCCAATTTTACCATGTATAGCACTTCCTCTTCATTTTGGAAACTAGAAGCAGTGCTGTATTCATCGAGTTAAAAATAGCACACAGACAACACACTTAAATTACTACAATCAGAGGAGAGTTTAATTAGAAAAGTATAGTACTTAAGGAATCTATGTGTAGCAGAGTAGTAACAGCTGACTTGTCACACCTAGATATCTCAGAGGATGGGAAAAGAGAGGTTACTGGAACCAGGAGGGGGGGTAGAAAAAACAAATCTTCTTGAGAGGAGAAGGGACACAATTCATTCAGGGACACAATTCAATCCAGAGACTCCATAGAGAGGGAGTCATGAAAACAACTACTGTAATCCCACTCATGTCCCTCCCCCTGCCAACCTGCTGTAGCATCCCACTGATTAAACCCCAAAGCCAGAGGGTTTGGGAATCTTCTTTGTGCAAAAAGCAGGGTAAAGAATGTGATGTGAATCTGAAGTGGGAAATAAAGATAACTGGAATGAAAAAAAAAGGTACCCTAATCAGCAACTTGTCCTGTGGGCTCAAGTGTTTGGCACACTGCCTACTCAGAGAGATAGAGAATTAAGATTGCACAAATGGGATTTGGTTCTATTTATGTGTTGGGGAACTGGTTGGTGAGCTAACGTCTTCTGAATAGCTACTGCTGGCAAACACTCAAGATCTGTGCTAGTGTTAGTAATATTTGGTAATCTAAGACAGAATACCATCCCTATTCTATACAGAACACATTATGATGGCCACATATCATGTGGTTGAGTTTATATTGGATTGTTGTTATGGTACCTTAGGGCTATAAGCATCTGATGGATATTTACTAATGTAGACTTTGGGAGGAAGGCTTATCTGAATTCAAGTCTTTCAGTGTCTCAATGTATTTATATCATACAAACCTTTTAAAAAATACCCTGCATATATTCTCGGAAGAACTGCACTTAAAATGGCAATGACAAATAAAAATATTATTCAATTTATTTTGGAGCTGCCTAGGAGCGAACATGGTTGAATAGTCCAGCCTGAGAAAAGAGCTTCTCTGCCAAAAAAGCCAATTGAAGTCTTGGCCAAACAAAAGTGATTTCTTTACTTCTGTGTTGAGAGGCTCAGGAAGTGCTAGTAGAGCCAAATCCTAATCAGGCTCTTAGAAGGAGAAATCTATTGCAGCAAAATGGTCCTTTCATTTTGGATGCAGACATTAGGAAACTAGCCTATCTCTTAGAATTATTTGCTATTGATTTTTACGACCCTGAAGGACTAAATGAATCTTAACCACCTCCACCCTTCAACAATGGGGGTCAACAAATTTTTGCACATGCTGGCATATTTTTATAGGCAATAGTGCCATCTTGTGTTAACTTCAGAATACATTTCTAATGGCTTTGCAAGACCAGCAAGTTTTCAGTTAATCATGCTAATTGCTGCAACCAACCTCACTGGGACCATAAGAACTAGAAAGGATTTTTCAAATTTCAGCGTGAAAGCACAAACTATCCAACAAAACCTACTTGGCATTGGACTTCAGATCAAGCCAACAAGCTAAGGAAGAGAAACATATACTTTATCTCTGTCTGTCCTTGCTTCAGTCTCTGTTTTTGTCTCTCTCACCCCCACACATATACATATATAAATGCTTGCTATTTGATAACCAAACTAACTGATTCAGCAGAATAGCTTATTCATTGCACGCCCATGTGAGAAAACCATTGACTGCAAATGGTTGCAGCACTCACAACACTCACAAAGGGTTAGCTGCACATGCAACAATTTGAAAGTTAAAGGTTCTTTTTTGAGTTGAAAGTTTCAACCGGGTATATCTGAAAGAAAACTCTGAGATTCATGTTTGCTTTTGTAACTCAAGGATCAACCTTCAAAGGTTACACCATGTTGAAAAATCTGTGAAATAGATATAGGAGTTTAATTTAGAACTACTCATTAATGTTTTCATGCTTGTGGCTACATGAAAAAAGTAAAACCCAAACTCACATTTCGCCAACCCAAATCCATGCAGTTGTTCAATAATTATCATTGCTTAGACCTTAAAATCTACCAGCGCACATTCTAAGCTTCAGATTTTTCATGGGTTCATATCAGGATTTAAAATTTTCAGAATTGCTTAATTCATTCATCTACTTTAAACACTATTAACATGTTGTCAGAAAATTTAGTATCACCAGAGTAGCTTCCAGTAGTTTAGTTTTTCCCTACTGGATAAAGTTTACTATATGTTTTCTCCCGGCAAACAGAATAATCAAAGACACAAACCAAGTGCCTGATAAGTAACCTTTGATGTGCCAATGTAAAGGAGAACTTCTTGAACTTATGTTGAAGAGATACACAACAAGTCATCTTATGACATATATCTTTAATTAAATTGATACTGGTGAGTTTAAAACATTCAGTGAGAAAATGGCAACTAAGGAAATAAGGTTTTTGCAATAAAGTGTTTAAAATAAAAACGAGTAAAAAACATCCATTGACTACAAATGAGACCATAAGAGAATAATTCTTATACAAAAAGCACCAGGATAAGGATCATCATTTTGGGGGTAGATTTTGTTTCTCAAAATTGTTGGGGATTAGCAAACACAAAGTGTAAAAAATATGAAAACTGGGGGCATCTGATTACAACAATGTCCTGGGAAATTGAGCAAATAAGGAGAAATTGTTCCATTGCATATGAAGATTTGATATGTAACATGAACCATTAAGATTCTGATTAAAGTCACTTAAATGAAGTCAAATGAGAACTTAGGGGATAAAACTCACAAGTAATTTACTTCCAGT